AGTAATGTAGAACAAGATTATATAACAAGTCCAGTGGAAAATGAGACAAGAAAAATTGAATTTTACATACTAGTATAATATGAAGTTCAATAATAAGATATAAAATATATATTTGGCTAGTATGATAGTATCGTATAGCAACTTTAAAGCTTTGAAATAACTTTCAACACTATGACCAAGATCGTTTTGATCTGAGAACATTGTGGAAAGCTTAGCTTGTACATCTAAAATATTCGTCGTCATGTTCTTCATGTTTTCTTCCATAATTCCTGAAAATTTATTAGCATAGAAAATTACTATCGTATACATAAATCAATAATTCGTTGACTTATATTCTTATATATTAAATGTACAACTTTGCTTCCGCCGTTTTCCTATAGATGGCTTTAGCGATAAGTGATGGTCGAAATAAATAGATGTCATACAATAAACTTGGGAATCTGTCAACATAACCCCATAGAAACATTAATCGATGTGTCTCCATCATAACTTTATTCTCGATTGAAAATGTCAATTTACGAGTCAAATTCTCATCATTTGCGGGAGATTATAATTTTCTGCTTCAATATGAAGAAATCTGCGGCTGAGGCTCATCGAATGCTCTCAAATACTTATGGCGAGGCTGCTATTAGTGAAAGAACGTGTCGTGAATGGTTTCAACGCTTCAAGAACGGTGATTTTGACGTCGACCGGCATAGCAGTCGAAGAGAGAAGGTTTTCGAAGATGTAGAATTGGAGGCATTACTTGATCAAGAGTCGTGTCAAAATCAAGAAGAATTGGCACGATCATTGGGAGTGACTCAACAAGCCATTTTAAAACGCCTCAAAATCATGGGAATGATTCGGAAGCAAGGAAATTGAGTGCCGTATGAGTTGAAGCCGAGAGATGTTGAACGGCGTTTGTTTGCTTGTGAACAGCTGCTTGAAAGGCAAAGACGAAAGGGATTTCTGCATCGCATTGTGACTGGGGAAAAATGGGTTCATTAACTACAAGCGCAGAAAATCATGGGGAGTTCCCGGCCATGCTTCCACGTCGACGGCCAAACCGAATATTCACGGCTCCAAGGTCATGCTCTGTATTTGATGGGACCAGCTCGACGTAGTATATAATGAGCTGTTAAAACTGACTGAAACAATCACAGGCGATCGGTATCGAACGCAATTGATGCGTTTGAGCCGAGCATTGAAAGACAAACGACCGCAATACAACGAGAGACACGATAAAGTGATTTCAAGCATGACAATGCTTGATCCCATGTTGCGAAAGTGATCAAGACATACTTGGAAACGTTGAAATGGGAAGTCTTACCCCATCCGCTGTATTCTCCAGACGTTGCTCCCTCTGACTATCACTTGTTTCAATCAATAGCACACGGCCTGGCTGACCAGCACTTCCGGTCTTATGAAGAAGTAAGAAATTGAATCGATTCGTGGATCGCCTCAAAAGATGACCAGTTTTTTCGACGCGGGATTCGTACGCTGCCTGAAAGATGGGAGAAAGTAGTGGCCAGCGATGGATAATATTTTGAATCATAAATGTATAACCAGTTTTTTTACAATAAAGCCTCGAATTTCGGAAAAAAAACGACGGAAGCAAAGTTGTACATCTAATATATCGAAAAATTAACCAATCACAATCGAATATGAGAAGAATACTCGATTATGATTGGTCAATTTTTTATGTCTTAAGACCTTACAATCGCTAGGACTTTTATATTGTAGACCCTGCATTATAATTCTTTTACAATTTATCTCGTATTGTAATTAATTAATTTGTGGCTTGACTAACGTTTCGTATACCATCTTACAATCTTCGTCAATAATAATCATCACTCTAGTTGGTTCTAAGCTTTGTGTAATATAACACATTTTATAATCGAGTACGTAAACACCTCGCTCGTCCGTAGGAATATCTTTGCACACGGAAAAAGAAATTAATATATTTGAATACATGCATAGGAAGAGAATTTGAAAATATCTTACCTTTCGATAAAGTCGTAATATAACCACAAAGATTCTCATAATGTCTCTGTGTAATCCCACACGTGCGTCTTTGCATCGCAACAACCAAGAACAGAATCGTATTGCTGACAACTAAACTTGCCTTCGCCTCTAACTGAAAATTCTATTTATAAAAACATAAATTATTTTCTATATAATTTTTGTTTTTACAATAGAAAATATGTTTTTAAAGCAGAGAATTTGTGTTTTATAGAAGATAATTTGTATTTTTAAAGTAAACAAATATCTGATCAGCACAAATTCTCTGCTATAAAAACAAAAATTATATAGAGAATAATTTGTTTTCTTCAAGTAGAAAATGTGTTTTACAGTAGAGAATTTGTATAATTATAGAAGCAGAAAATATTTATTTTAACTTACATGTTCCTCTATGCCATTGATGACAGATTTCCTAATCTAAACTATCTCACTTTAATTACAAAAGTGTACACTAAGGCACTAGATGTGTAGGTATTCTCATCCGCCATCTTGATTCCAACTAATATAGAATAACATGGCGATATGAATGAAAATTTCGAGTTTGCTCTACAATAAAGTTAGAACTTCTTGATTATTTCATCTTCAAATGTGGAGAAACACATGTAGATACTGTTCGAAGGTCGTCGATTGCCTGTGTATACTATACACCCGGGATCGCAAAATTGTACATGTTATTTCCAAATGGTGTTACACAGCAAACTGTTGCCTGATGTGTATTTGCCAACGTGACGATGTCAAAAGAAAAAGAAAAAGGTGATCACAACAAGGTATCTAGTGAAAACAAGAAGATATTTATATTTGGAATTAAATTTGTCGTTAATGATGCGACTTTATAATGATTATTGAATTTGAAAATAAAGGAATTTTCAGGAACTTGAAAATAAAGGAAGCAATAACCCATCGACAAACGCTCATGAAACGCTCTATGCGCTGAGAATCAGGCCATGAAACAGAAGCTGGAGAGGTGGCATATTATTTTCAAATTGTATTCGTTTTTTATCACAAGTTGCCAATTACTTGGATAAATATAGTATAAAGTAATTTATTATGTGAATAATGTGAAGTGATGTATTACAATTTATTCTTTTATTAATTCAAGTGAATTGAAGCTAAATTTTCTGAAAATGAAATCGTGTGAATTTGAATTTGTACTAATGACATAATTGATTTCAAATTGTAAACATATTGTATAATAATTTTTACATTTTAATAGATATGAAATTATGAATTAAAAACTGTAAAATCAAAACAAGTTTGTAATCTGTAGCACGGTTTATCTGAAAAACAATTTCATAATATTGTACAAGGATTAATGAATAAAAAAATTTTCAACATTTTGTGTTTTTATTTAAAAATAACGCATTAATTTGAATAAATTCTTAAATTAGTATCACAAAGAGTAATCACAAGTACAATATCGAATGTGATCGAGTCGAATGGAAATAACTTACGTTTTTTTTTCGCTTAGCAAACGCAGTCCCGAAGACAATTTTGTGTTTTCTACAGTTTTCTGAAAAATTTTTTACACAAAAAGAACGAACGAAATGTTTCACAACTTTTTTTTTACATTGCAACACTTCGGAAAGGCAATATTAATATTTTTCTAAACCTTTGAACTAGAATTCCCGTTTTTTAAAATGTATTTCTTGTATACTGTGAAAAAGTATTCGCAATTAAAGATCAAAGAAAGTGTTTTTAAACAAGGTTCTTTCAAACCATCTCGGTTCGCTCCGTTATTGTAATACTTTGCTTTATTGATAAAGTTCATGTCAGGCAAATTTTTCGAAAACAAAAATTCAATACATTTCGAATAAATGTGCTTAACAATTGCGTTTGTTGTATCAGCTATATAAAACATACTATTAGCATTATAACTGGTTATAATTTGACTACAATCTTCAAGAGAAAAAGTTTGCACTGCTTGGAATTCATCGACAAGTGAAGATGTATCATTTATGATTGAAGTTCCGAGAGATTCATTACTGCAAGTTGATAACATTTTTTTCTTATTTCTTTTCTCTTGACAAAAGCTTAACAGAAATTCATCGGACTTATTTGTATAACTAGTACGTTTTATTTTAGATTTCAGATATAAATTGTGATACTGAAATGAGTTTGATAGCTTGTATGACCTGAAGTGCAGTAGACATAGACCCTTGTCTATGTCGCACTTGTAAAAAATATTTTTAGTTACATCTTGAGTAAAGCGATACCCTAACACAAAATCATATTATTTTTCATCAATAACTCCGCGACGTCGCAAAATGTTAACGTTACAATAACAAAAAAGTTAAATGGTTTCTAATCGTTTCTGAATATTTTTAATACATGATAATATTTTTAAATAAATCGATAATTGTGTGCAAGAAAATATATTTTTTGTTACAATTTCATGAAGTTATCGATGTCTTTCTTACTTTGAAAGTCGTGATAGAAAATCATTCATAAATTAGGAGAATAAAGTAAACAGTCGTCAGAGCTTCGCGAGACAATATGTCATTTTCATCTGCAGTTTTTCAATGCGCTAGAAGTTTTTAGGGAAAAAAAGTGGATGACTGCTCCTACATTCATTTTGTCATGATTTGTAAGATCGATTTTCTTGTCGAAGATGATATAGCAAGCGATTTTCTAATTCATGCGTTATTTCATATTTCCAGAAGATTTTAACGTAAGTCCCATTAACTATATTGGAAGTGCTTCTAGCTTAACATACGTTTCGGGTAAATTTGCCTAAACATAACACCTTTCAAATTTTTCAATAAATGACAAGAGTCCGGTATAGCAAATAAAAATTTCGTGATTACTGGAAGAAAAAGAATTGCAAATCTCATGCCTCGAAACATGGATTTTCAAAGACGACCATAAATTTCTGTTCCTACCGTCTAAATCTGATGAAAGTGTTACAACATAAAGATCACATGATTCTAAAGATTTAATGAAGTTCAAAATAAAAGTTGTCGATCGATCGCTACTTTACCAGTTAACATGCAATTATTTGTTTCCAATGATTTTTAATTCCTTGAATAACAACAACATACACTTTCTCATCATTAGGATTGTTACTCAAAGTTACGTGACCAACAAATTTACCAAGATTTTTATCATAATCCACTTGTTCCCTAATTTTCATTTCATTGTATGATAAAACGCAAAATTTGTTGGGTTCATGGCTTTTACTTTAAATCGGAGCGATTGAAGAACGTCTTCAAAAATCCTAAAATTTAAGGTAAAGTCTTGTATTCGTCGCATACTGTATGCAGGCAATGGATATCCGGTATTTCAAAGATATTTATAACCATGAACTGAGAGGGCGAATCTCAATTAAGAGCTTTTACAATACTGTTGTTGGGCCAGTGTAATATTCGACCTTGCTCTAACATTTTAATTTGATTGTCATTCAAGAATGATTGCTTTATTTTCTCCATGGTGTTTATTTGGTCCCGTAGTTTTTGGTTTTCTATTACCAATAATTCATGTGTTTGTAATTGTCTCAACAATTTTTCGTTTTCAAGTCTTAGTCGTGATAGCTCGTCTTCCTGCCAATAAAATACATAAAATTAATAAAATGAGTTTCTACAAAATATATTTCTTTAAAATGAATTTCTTGAATTACCTCGCTCTCTGAAATTCTTAGTATATCTACAAGTTCTAATACGGGATTAAATTCAGCTCTTTCCCCTAATTTCTAAAATATTTTGATAAAAATTATTTTATTCCGAAACATGAAAGTCATAATTGATGTAGATTAATTCTCAAAATTTACCTCTTATTCAGATCCGGTAAACTCCATTGTTTTCGAATTGGTAGAATCTTTTTCGAGATTCTAGAAAGACAGAGAGGGGGAAGGCAGGGAGGAGGGAGGGGAGAGAGAGAGAGAGAGAGAGAGAGAGATCTTTCAGTATTACTATTTTTTCTCCGTTTTATGTTGCCTTTAGTTTGTAAGATAAAATAACCTTATACAGTGATTTCTGTGGATCGATCATGGATGGCGGATTTAGTACGTCAAATAAAGTTGGGATGGTATTCGGTTTTAACTTTTTCCAACCATCGGATCGATGACTTTCAAATTGAGAATTTTCAAAATGTTTCTAAAAAAAATATACAATGTTACATTTTTTTATCACAATTCTGCATGGATAGACGTTTAAAACAATAAAAACTTAAAAGATACTTCACACAAGCGCGAAGCCTCAGTTGATGTCCAATTATTTCCGCACCGTACATTTAACACCTACTTTGCTCACCGATCACCCATCGGAAACCTAAACAATTTACAACCTTTTTCCGATTTATTGCAACAATTTATTGCAGCAAGATATCTTGAAATTTACATTTTCTTTGTTTATTATACCAGTCATACGTGTTCATTACTGATCGTATAACCTATCAGGAACCAAGATGGCGGATGAGAATACCTATATATCTAGTACCTTAGTGTACACTAATTCATCATGAGTCACAGAAAACAGACATGTGTAATGTGACCATGCATTGCCAGAACCACATTTGCCGCTTACGCCAAAAATTCCAAAAGAACATTTCCCCTACTCCGTGGCGACGATGACAACGGTTCTTAATATAAAGTTTCAGATTCGTAATTTGCGTCGCAATATTTCCGCTCGTACAACACGTAGAGAAAAAATAAAAACATTTTCATTATATATCCCGAGCGGTCGCAATCGGTTGAGCACACTTAGAACTTCGGTTCAGCCCTTATTGAGATCCGATATTTTCGATCTGACGCAACTAGGCTCGCGTAAAGTATCGTTACGCGTAGCTTAGCGCTGAGACATTACCAGTATCTTCAGATAAAATATTTTGCAAATTGTTTATTTTTTAGTAACGACAAGAGAAAGATGAGAACTGCGAGACAAGACATTGGAAACGAGAAAAGATAGTGAGACAAGAAGAAGATGAGAGAAATAGAGACGAGACGAAAGAAAGACGAGAGATTGAGAGAGAGGGGGGGGAGAGAGAGAGAGAGAGATATGAGATGAGCCGAGAATAACACCAGGAGGCACAAGAAACAGGACGCAATGAGATGGAGGATAGGGATGGGAGAGCAAAGAGATAAATGCGAGAAATATGAGAAGAGGGAACAAAGATGGGTGATAAAATAGTAGAGAAGAGAGATAGAAGAAGAGGACGGAGTTAGAAGAGAGAAAGATGAAACGAGGAGACGAGAAAGGCTAAAAACGAGAAAAATATGAGAAGAAAAGGAGAAAAGTAGGAAAGAAAAATCATGTTAAAATTAATACACTTTTTTCACATATGGATGATATAATATATATTATATATTTATTTTGTTCTTATTTTTAATGAAGTATAAGAAAAATGTAATGTATACAGATTGAAATAAAAAAATGAAATGAGAAAGAGAAAGAGAGACGAAAGATGGAAGTAAGGCAAGAAGACATGGAAGAGTGGTGAGAAAAAATCAAGATGACTCTGATAAACAAAATTTGCTAAAATTATCCCACGGAACATTTCAACGAAATTGTTGAAAATTTGTTGAAATTTCACAAAGTGAATTTTTCAAATAACATTAAAAATTGAAACTAAAATTGAAAAATAAAATTATTTTTCTGAAATTTTTTTAAAAATAAAATTTTCAGTTAAAATTCATTAAAATTAAATTTAAATTTTTCTGAAATGCTGAAATTTTGCCGAACTATTCCAAAACGTGGAATTTTAACGAAATTTTTCCGCCAGGGGAGAGACGAGAAATGAGAGGACAAAGAAAGAACAAATGAGATAATAGTGAAAGACGAGAAACAAGAGATAAGAGACAGGAAATAAAAAAGAGGCGATAGAGAAAGAGAGAGACAGAACGAGATACAGGTGAGAGAAGAAATGCTAATTTTGAAATTTAATTTTAAAATTAAATTTTATTTATTTTTCCAAAGTAAAGAGTAAAAGAGAAGAGACAAAACTGTATAAAAAGTTTAGCTGAAAAGAATAGAATTTAAATAATTCTTATACATAATATGATTTCTCTAATTTTTCTTTAATCGTATTGTGTATAAAAGTTTACACCTATCAAGAAATGAATAATTTTTGATATTTTGTGGTTTATTTTGATATACTTTGATATAAAGTATCTCGTAATAAAGTATTTATTTTTTAGTAACAACAAGAGGAAGATGAGAAAGGCGAGATAAGACATTGGAAGTGAAAAAGAGACGTGAAACAAAAAGAGAGTGAGACAAAAAGATGATGAGAGAGATAGAGACGACAGATTGAAAAGAGGTCAGAGACAAGACAATAGAGAGATGAGAGAGTAAAAGAGAGAAATGAGATGAAAGTCAAGAATGAGACCAGAAAAAGACAAGTAATGAGATGAAAGACGAGATGAAATGGAGGATTGAGATGAGAGACGAAAGACAGAGAGTTGAGAAGAGAAAAAGGAAGAGAGAGAGAGAGAGAGAGAGAGATTTTTAGTTGTGTAAATTTCTCTTTATTTGTAATTTATTTATTTTTTTAATTTATTTTTTTATTTTTATTTTATTACTCTTATGAACAGACTAAAAAATGGAATCAATTCGTGTAAAAAAATACATAATTGCTTTAAAAATATATATATAAGCAAAATAAATAATTTTTTAGAGTTTTATCATCTTCGACTTAATCGGCCGAGTAATCAATTGGAATTGATTTATCGCATTTGCCGTTTTATTTGATGACAAATGTGATTGGCCAATTTCGAATTAATCGGTCGATTAAGTTCATTGGAATTGATAAAAGATTACCCTTAAATAAACAATTATGTATTTTTTTTTTACAGTTTACGTCAATGCTTATATTGGGAGCATTCAGTACTATAACCGCTCACTAAGTGCTCAGTGAGCTCTTGCATCTGATTGGCATATTCCGTTAGAACTAAAAATATAGATCAAACAAATATAAGAGCTCACTGAACGCTCAGTGAGCGGTCATAGTACTGAATGCACCCATTACCTTCTGATTGCTGTTTCTTGGCATCGCTCGCGCGAGAGAGAGAGAGAGAGAGAGGGAGAGGAGATTACGTACCATCCGAGTAAAGTTTGCGAATGCTGTCTAACATTGGAGTATTCAGATTTCGGAGCAAACTTTGAACATAAAAAGATAAAATAAAGAAAATTTGTTAATACATGTTATTTTTTAAATTTAATATTATTATTATTTAAATACATTTCAAGAAGAAAAATTTTAATATTCTTTATTTTTGTTATTTTCCAGTAAAGACGGATAAACAATTTTATGTATATACATACATATAATATAATATGTACAGCCGGTCACAAAAATGTTGCATCACTATTTTCGATGGGTTTCGGAATGCAGCTGCTTACCGAACTGGTTCTTATTCATGGATTTAATCGAAAAAAAAATGTTGCAACCTTTTTTTGAACGAAAATATTTAAAATATAATATTACGTATCACATATTTATAAAAATATTAAAAATGTATCAAACACTCTCTACATACTTTTTATCACTTTTTATCAAAATGTTGAAATTTCGATACAAGTTTCGAATCGACAACTATTTCATCGTAACGACGTCGAAATGAGATCTTTTTGAGAAACTATTATATTTCTGACCCGTTCTGTACAAATTTTCTCTACCCGTCCCATGTAAGCGGAACGCAAAGGAATTTTGGTAACAAAATATATCTCACTCTTATAATTCAATATATTTGAGAATTCAAAGTAATGTAATAATGTTATAAGCAAGATAATTGCACAAATTATACATATTACTTTAGTTGCATTAAAATAACGAAATAACGGTTAAATTAAGCAAATTAGCTTGAAATTGAGGCGACATTCTGTCCGCTTTCATTTCGTTCAGGCTACATGAGACGGGAAGAGAAATTTCTTAATTGAATGGAATTGTAATGAACTCAATTTTCTAGTAAGAAATTCATTCCGTCGTTCCGATTTCGTGTATACGGGAAGGGACTCTAAGGCTGGCGTCTCATGAGTACAGAAAAGAAAGCAGAGAAATTACTGCAGAATTGTAATTGGTCGCGCTGTTCTGTTTAGCTGTAAATTTCTGCTCCATAAGACGCCAGTCTAAATCTATTGAATTACCAAAAACTTTTCTTAAATGAAAATAATAATGAAGACATCTTTCTCAAATGATTTCTAATCGATTTCATTCATAAAATACGTTAAATAAAATCGCTCTTTGAGCGAATTTGACACATGACAAAATTTGTTAATAACAAGAAAAATACTATTATTATGGTTAAATGCTTTTCTTAAATTTCTGTAAACGATTCCCAACTTATATAGATATAAATTAATCAGAAATATTCAATTTGTCTGTTATCTTGTCAGTGGTGTAAAGAAGTGATGAATATACATATAAGATGAAGTGAATATGTATTTGTTTCGTTTCAACTTATGAGGTTTATTTTTTTACTTTCCCAAGTTTTGAATAAAAAGGTTATGAACACAGAGTAGAGAAATCATTTAAGAATGCGTGAGCGGATAGAAAGAGACAGAAAATGAGATGATTAGAGACTTATAATAAGTGACTGTAATAAGAATCGCAATTCTTATTACTTATTACGAGCTAACTTTTGTATGCAGGGTAGTTGTTTTAACAAAATCGATAATATAGAAATATATTGTATCTCTGTCTAATCATAACGCGTCTCTAATCTAAACCTGCGCTGATGGAACGTGCGTACATACGTCGTACTGACAGTTATTAAAAATGATTAGGTATGCAGCCCCATTTTGCAATAATTCAGTAGCCAAAGATCAATGAAAGCATTTTTTCGAAATGCCGAATGTCGTGCTTTATAGGCGAAAAATGTTAGCGAAAGATGCAGAGGAAATGTGGTGTGAAAAATTGGACTCCTGCAACAACAAATTCTTTTTTCGTCATTTCAACAATATAATGTAAGAAATCTATTTGTCAATGCCTTTAAATTAATTTATTTTAATTATATTGAAATTCAAAAGTAACACGAATGTAGGTATTCAAATATGGGCGGAAATTGTTAAAACATGCCGGACCAATGAAAATGCGATTTTCTCATGTCACGACTCTTATTAGAGGATCTCTAGAGATGACAATCAAGGGAGAGTGGAGTAACGTACTCTTCTCTGATTGGTTCCGCTATTTATCCGCTCACTTTCGCAAATGTGCATGTATGTGTATACGTATATGTACATACGCAATAATAATGTGATATAATACTAGTGTGTGCAGCATCACGCTATGTTCCATCACGCTTCTACCATATCTCCTACACACTCTAACAAATGACGGACGAATCCGCTTTACTCTCCCTTGATTCTCTCTAGAGATAGCCATCAGCATTCTTATTTAATCGCGCATGCGCTGTTGATTTTCACTGTTATGTGGGAGATTTGAGGAAAGCAATATGGTCGCAGCACAGACTTTTGCATAACGCATAACGCATAAGAGAATCAATCAATTAGAATCTTCCCTTTCCTCTCATTCCATGGAAAAGAAGAATTTCGATTGGTCGATTCCTTTATGTACTATGCATTATACGTTATGCAAGTGTCTGTACAGCCAATAGACCTCTGTTACACAACACGCTTAATCGGGTTTAATAACATTCATAGTGAAATTGTCCAATATATATATATTGGGTCATCTAAAAAGTATCCGCGGTTTTTTGTCACTAGATGTGTGTTGATGGTCATATATCCAGTGACAAAGTACCGCGGATACTTTTTAAATGACCCAATAATTGTTCCTCGGAAAAATGGAACGACTATGATTGGCCAATTTCATAATTACGGATGTTATTAAACCCGATTAAGGGTGCCTATAAATGTAGCCATATATGCTATGACTAAAGAAGTTATGTCAATTCTTTGATTATGATAATTCTTTCGCTATATTGGAGGCTAAATTTCCTTTTCTCGATGCCACCTCATTCAGCTTTCAAAATGCGCGCGCAACATTAGATAAAGGGTGCGGTCCACTAGGCGCTACAAATGCTTTAAAAATTTTGATTGATCAAAAAAGAATTTTACTAATTGACCAATTAAAAAATGCTTTGAAGTATTTTTAGCATCAAATGAATCAGCCAAAGGATGGCCATCCCTAGAGTCCCTATACCAGAGTCTGATCATTCATCCTTTTGCGCCTATTGCCTGAATCAAGCTCAAGAATAACATGGCGGAACCACTGATTTATATAAATAGACTGCTAAACTATAGAAAAAGATGAACTTGATTCCGAACTATCCTTGTTTTAATTCTCATATGCATTCTGTCTGTGAGAATCGTGAATTTATCCATATAATTTATAATAAATTTATAATTCATGTGTGAATGAGAGAACTCAAATATGGTGCTGCCCAGCGCTGTCATCAAACATGGAGGCGAAGTTGGCAACCTATTCATAGAAATCGTGAGTGGAACCAATGAAAATTACTACAAAATTCTGGCTAATTTAAACAAAAGAGACACAATAAATGACGAAACAACTTTAGTGTAGATTTTTTATTCTTCTATTTAACTTTTACATTAATTTTCTGTTAATATCTTTTATATTAATTTTCCATTAACTCTGAGCAAATTGGTAGCAAATCCGATTTTGATTACAAAACTATAGTCATTTGTATCCGCATTTGACTACACAGAACAGAAACATCTATTAGACGTCCATTAAACATCATGGAGATTTGAAACCTTCATTAGACGATCGCGAAACTTCCAGTGGACGTCCACTAAAAATCTAGAGTTCCTTTTATACATTGATAAGACCTCCATTCGATATTAAAAAAGGTCTAATAGACGTTATATGAATCAATTGTAGATATTTCACAGACCCCAGCAAAGAGAATAGATAAAAATGGATTAAAATTTTTTTGTACTTTAAATCTATGAAAATGGATTGAATGGATTGAAATGGATTGGATCCGAGCTGACACTAGTTTAATATTCGAAAAAAAAACATTCATATTTAAAGGTTACAAATTTTATTCCTAAGACTTTTAATAATTATACCTGAAATTAACTACTTCAAATTGAAATTAACTACTTCAAATATTAAAAATCTTAGTGGGATTCGAATCTGGGATCTCTGGATTATGAATCTTTTACGTTACCCGCTACACCATTTCTTCAATTGGTAAATGTGTTATTCATTCTCTACTTCAATTCCAACCAGCTAAACCAGTGCACAAAATTATATAAATATAGTAAAAATATCATAATTTAACAGTTATATTAAAATATAAATAATTTACATTACTATGAGACAACATTGGGTGAGTGTTGGATAATCTAATCTTGCTTGGCCGATGTCGCGCGCCATGATTAGTCTAATATTCGGGTTGTGTTCTACTTGGTTGCGAGTGTTCATATCGATCATTCATTTTATTTCTAATCAAAGAGAAACAAAAGAACATAGCTCAATTATTTTTACGCTACAACTTTTTTTAACTTAGATTAAAACGAAAAATCTCCTACTTATAATTTTGAATAATTTAAGTAGAATTTATGATCCATTTTTAAATAAAAATTTTTTTTATTCAATTAGATTGAAAAACTGCATTTCATATTCAAAATATTGAATTGAGTAGTATTCATGTTGCACAGAAATTGCTGATATTATTTTTGAATTTAACTGAATTAAAAAACTGTACTTTATATTCTGAATTGAGTAGTATGATGCACAGAAAATGCTAATATTATTTTTAGATTGAAAGGCATAGAGATATGCTCTATGCAATTTCTATAAATGAATAAAAATGCATTCAGAATTGAAAAGGATTCATTTTATCCAGGAATCCGCATTTCTGAAAATCTGAATCTGTTTTAATCCATTTCAATCCATTCTTGTTTGCTGGAGAGTTGTCTAGGGTTTCAAACTGATCAACTATAACAAAATGATCAACT